GTTTATTTTACTTTTTTCTGATAATCCGACCTTTTTTGCGTTCCGACCATACCCCCAGTCCCAAAGGTGACGGATTAGAGGGGTTCTACTGTATATAGATATAGATATAGATATAGATGTAGATATATATATAGATATAGATATAGATAAAAATGGACGTGTGTGTCCCTATATTTCACTTTTCAGCCAAAACTACACATCACACATGAATGGTGTTTGTATGTGGTAGTAGCCCCAAGTCTCCATTCGTGCACTATGGTGGTTGCGTCTCGATAGCTATAAGGGTGGAGGAGAAATGGGGCTGCAAGTGGTTGAAAGTGGTTTTCTATTTCGAATTTTATGTTCGAATTTGTTCGAATTCGAATTCGAACATGAAATTCGAATATTGGTTCGATTATAGAACAATTGTAAACGTTCCAGAAACGTTGAAAATAATTCGTTGACTGGACGTAAAAATTTTCTAATTAGTCTGGAAACGGGGGACCTAATTCTTGCATTCTGTGAAAACGGTGAGATTGGCTATAACGTAATTATCTTAATCTTCACTATCGTTACTTTTTGCCCAGCGAAGAGAGTCCTTGCAGCTAGTATATATATATATATATATAGATGTAGATATAGATATAGATTGAGAAATTACAATGCGAATTATTTAAATATTCATCTTTGTTTTTTAACTAAAACAAATAATTTTTTTCTATTTGCTATTTTATTGGCTAATTTATTGATATTTTATTCTCAAATGCTATAAATTACAGATAATTAACATGATTTTTTTCAATTAATTTATTTAATTTAGAACTGTACTCTGTATATTTATTGCATGGGTTTCAATGGCAACGTTAGCAGAGATTTTAATGCGATTTGATATCATTCCTTGGAAGATGAATAATAGTAAGTCATTAAAATTATTAGAAAATTTATTACAATACTGGTATTTGAAACAATAATAGTTTAATTGTTAATGTTTTAAGTTTAAGGAAAATAATATATAATAGATAAATTATCGAATTTCTTATCAACGATTGATAAAAATAGTTTTAAAATATAGATTTCAATTTTAACGATTAATTACACTAATTAATAGTTTTTTAACGCCTATAATTTTAGGTAAAATTTTCGAGTATATTCTCATCGCTTCACCTTTTACATCTCTACATAAATTGTGTTTCACGAATATCGATGAAAGCACAAAATCGTTGTGTGGTGTGAGATGTCTTGTAATAATTAATGCAGTATTCGGACATACATGTGCGTTAGTAATGATTCTAGGCACAGTAGCAGGTAATTTTTTCATTGTCTTATTTAACATTAAAAATTTCTAAATATTTAAATGATTTTGTGACAGTACCATAACACAATCTTAATTATACTTTGTATGTATTATGGCTTCAAGTCTTAGACCCATAATATATACAAAAACGGTTTTAGACTAACGAGTAAGAGCATAATTTTATATCAGTTATGACGTATTACACAGAGACAAGAAGACACGTAGATCAAAAGGACAGTACTAAAATGGCGTCTCTTGATAGAAAATCATTCTGTTCTGTAACTTATAACACATTTAATAAAGCAGTAGAAAAGTTGAATTGTTCTCAATAGATAACACATTTTGTGATGCGCGAATTAGAAAATAATTAACCTTTCTGTGTGATGTTATATTTTATGTACGCTTCTTTTATTACTTTAGTTTGAGGGACTTATTCTTTGAGGGACAGAACTAGTTCGAAACGTGTAACATTGCGCGTGTCAACTGAATAAAGATGGTAAAACGCCAAGTATTGTAGTTTGTGACACTTATTTGTGTTTGAGAAACAAAAAATACATAATGATATTAAAATGTATTTATTAAATAAACATCGAAAAAATGCATTAAAATTGGTTATATAGAACGAAAATAAAAAAGCAAAAAACTAAGTAAAACACATATCAGTCATCTGAGAAGAAAGCTAAATAGTTTATAAGTTTAAGTGTAGTTGTCTAAGTGCACATACTTATATGATGGAGAGTGACAGAAAATTAAAAATAAATTAAATTAAAAAATAGGATCATATAAAGGCAATTAAGAATAACCAGAAACATTCAGCCCAAGTACTACATTATAACAGTAGCGTGCCGTGACATTTGATGATAGGCAGTAGCGTAGAGTAGTGGGGCGGCACTTTTAGGGGCCGGCAAAATTTCACAATAAATAATAATAATATCTTGAAAATTTTGAACCATTTCATTTCATATTTTTGTCGCACCTACGATTCGGACCGATTGAAATGAATAGGGAATTTTTCATTACTTATTCTGTGACGAAACTGAATTTTAGTATTTTAAATTGAGATATCTAAATAAGGGGGCGGGGAAATTTTCCTCTGCCCCGGGCGGCTGACACCCACGCTACGCCACTGATGATAGTGGAAGCTGTGTTTTCATAAAAATTTTAAAATACAGTACTGAAAATGACAACAATAACAGTTTATTTATTCTGATTCCAAAATAGATAATTGACACGAAACGAACATATAAAGCTGTTATTATTATTTGTAATAAATTATCTCTATTCGACAATTTTTTCTGAAAAGTCGTTAATTATTTTATCATAAAAATTACTCGTCGTTGATTCAATCAAAGTACAGTATTTAAAAGCTTTTTTTCCTATTGAAAGCAACGCTAGTGACAACAATCTTTCTGTTTCTTGCCAATGTATCATTTCGCTTCATGATTGAAAAACTGCGCTCAACAGTTGCATTCATAGATGGTACCGTAAAAATTAACAATATTAAGTCATATGTTTTTAGCACACTTTGTTCAGATCGTCATTAGTTATAATATTTTTTATGTATAAAGTGTCTTGCCAATATAGTCTGGACATGAATATAAATATTGCAATTCACTACGCCGGGTGGGCAACCTTTGAGCTGTGTTGTGCAGAACGTCAGATATAATGTGTGATTCGAAGTGCCGACATGACTCTACCAAGCCTATTATATATGTTATCAAAATTAGTCCGGTTATAACTGACTACAAAAATGTATAATCTTAAAATTACGTCGTTACTTGATAATTCAAGTAACGACTTAATTTTGCGAGCGCTTCTAACAACAGAAGCGCTCGCATAACTCATAAATGGAGGCACGGAGCGTAAACAGATGCGCTGTAATAGATATATACAAACAAGATACTTTTTTAATGCACCACGGCCTTTCCTGAACTATGTAGTTTATTTAAAAGTGTAAGTAATAATCTATATATATATATATATATATATCGAGACAGATTGATAGTAATAATAATAATAACCGCAGAGCCCAAACGGTTAGGAGTTGAAAGTTAAAATTTCGTACACAGTTAAGGTACGTCACGAGAACGCACACTAAGAAGGGATTTTGAGAAATTCTTCCCCCGCGAGGAATAGGGACAGGATTAAGTCTTCAACGATAGAAGTGTTAAGTAACAATGGAAGTGTTAAGAGAAAGCAACCTGAAAAGGAGAGGCGCAGATGTGGTTTTTTGCGTTTTTGCGGGATATCGAACATATTTTTAGACCCTTCTAAAAATTCTCTATTTAGTCTGGAAACAGGTGGACCTAATTTTTGCATTCTGTGATAACGGGTAAGATTGGCTGTAATGTAATAATCTTAATTTTCGCTATCGTTACTTTTTGCCCGAGCAACGCCGGGTTTATCTGCTAGTTAAAATAGAATTTTCGATACATTTCTATTTAATCAGACTGCAACTGAAAATCGACCAGCATGCCACAGGTAGGCTACTTCCGCACAACGTAATTTACATAGATAAAAAAAATACTCCATAAAATTTACTTAAAGAATTGAAACTCGCTTCGGAAATTATTTTTCATAATATTTAAAATTGTTAACATCTAAAAGTGATAAAAATTATAAAGATTGTATGTCTGAAAATCTGTCAATATTAAATTATAATTAATTATAATTTGTTACTGACATTATAATTAAATTATAATGTCAAATTATAATTAAATATAGCTTTGTAAAGAAACGTACATGAAAGTAACATTGCATATTTTTTTACTTTTAAAATTTTAAAACAATGCAATTAGTTAAATATCTTCCTTCGAATGGCTAATGGATAGAATCGTCCGAAGCGTTGTACGATATTTTGGTGTGTAGCATCCATCAATTAAACCGCTGGTTGGTGCTCTTTAAAGGGCGTGCGGGAATGCCTGTAAGTTACTTGCTTTATACGATTCGAATATTTTCTCCGTGAAAGCTATCCCGTATTCGACAATTCAGCTCTCCCATTGAAAATATGCGACCTGTATACGAATTTACATTCGAACATACATGGCAACATTAAAATTGTTTTTCACATATATAGTAATTTGTAATAAAATGCGTAATGCGGTTATAATAAAATATTAATTTTAAATAATTCAAAGTACGTTAAAATATGAAAGTAATCACACGACATGTATTTACATTTTAGAAAATATAAGGGAAGCGGCGCTTGTAATGCTGGCACGCCACTGCATTATAATGCTTGAGGATCGTATAACAGAATTAATAGTTTTAACAATTACTGTATTTAAAGTAATTAGTAAAAATTAAGCTAGATTTAATTGCTGTTCTATGCAACTTTATAAATTTCATATTACAGTAAGACCCCACTTAACGCGGGGAAGCGTGCCTAGACCGTAAAGCGTTAAACGAGGTTATTTTAACATAGAGTAAATAGAGAAAGGGAAACGCGAACAAAAATAAACAGAATTTACTTTAATTTTAAGTTATTTTTAAATTAATTTGCATAATAATATATGTTAAATTACACATAAACATATGCTAACAAAAATATAATGTTCATTTTTTCTGAAGAATTCCTGTCTTTTCTGAATTTTTTTTGAAATAAAGTAGTGTAGTTTAATTTGTCGCTATTTTTCCTTTCCTTAAGCAAATGTCGATGGCAGAAAATCGCATTCAAAACGCCTCGTTTTCCTTTTGCACTTCTTTCAAAATCTCATTTGCTATAATTTGATCAACGATTTCGGTTGTCGTTATCGAACCTTTACTAAGGAAATCTGTAGCAAGTTCTTTGGGTTCTTCGTTTTTAGAATCACTATTATCCAGTTCTACTTGAAACTATTGTTCTTCCAATTTTTGAAGGTCGTTGTTGGTAAGGCTCTCACAGGAAACCTACGGTAAATCCTTAATATCCTGCACGTCTGCATCTTCTAGTCCTGCTGTATCGATTAGGTTGACAATTTGGTCAACCTGACGATACAGCGACAGGTTCTTCTCGTTAAGGATTTTTTAATACCTTCAGCTATAACTTCTTGCACACTGCGTTTATGCATTCATCGATTAATTCTGGCAAAGCGAAGTCGATATCGCTTTATATGTATATATGTATATATATATATATATTCCTCTTAGGGCTGTACTTTGCTTAAATCTATGTTGATTATCTTAAATCAATTTTGATAATATAATCAAAATTGATTATATTATCAAAATAACATAGATTTAACAACAACATAGATTTAAGCAAAGTACAGCGCTACGAGGAATTTACGCGTTTTGCCGCTTGCTTCGTGTTCGGGAATAATCGTATTATATACGAATCAATGAAATGACTCGATAATTTGAATCACCGTAAATTTTGAGCTTATTTTATGCTTCGAGCAGACTGCGTTATTTGGAATCAATGTTAATCGAAGCAGCGTTAAGCGGAGTCTTACTATTTTACAAAAATAATTCCTGGTATTTATCTATATTTACTGAATAACAAAAATTATATTTTAAAGAAAAATATTCCAATATCGTAAAGGCGATGGACTTTTTTTTATGGGAGATCCTTCTTCAAGGCTTCACGATGATCGAATCGTTTTTCTTCTACAGGTAAGATTACATGAATTAAATACTTAAATACAATGAATTAAATACTTAGAAATAAGTGCAAATTTCCATAATATGTTATATTTGCATCATAATAAAACTTCTAACATTAAGAAATTTTCACTATTCTGAGTAAAATTAATAACGAATAACAAACACATTTCTCGTCTAGTGGTTTTATGGTTATGTATTTGAGACAAAAGCGTGGAAACAACTCTGTGAAGCACTATATCATGCCTTTAGTCAAGAAAATTTTCAGGTAAAATATTTAATTAGTAAAATCACTAGTTCTTGGCGTAAATTTTATTTATATTATAGATTCACTTTTCCGGTAATCTTTGTTTTGGGCTTTGCAATTCTTCTGCCTCTACTCGGAGATGGTCCTCATTGGCATCGTGTTATTGATCAAGCGGAATACTTAGAAAACAGTTGGTGGAAGTATATCACTCATGTTCATATTTATACAGAATTCGAACAGAAGGTAATTTCACAAATTTTTAGCATTTATTTTTTAGTTTACTTTCACATATCAGAAAAACACATCGAATATTTTAATAAGTGATGTTACCAATATTTATCCACTATTGTTCGTCTATCCGAGATCATTTTTTAATAATTACAGTCGTGGTTCCCGTGACAGATTAAGAATGACGATGCATTGTTTAACTAATATACGCACTGTATATAATATTGTAGTTTTTCATACAAAAATGCACTTCGGCTGTAAATGTGTAATAAATATACAAAAATCTACGACTTACATAAAGTTTTTATAAGAATCATTATTAGTACATTTTTCTTTATATACATTGTATAAATACGATAATATTTAAAGAAAACTGTGTCCTGTACATTACAATGTTTTTCTATTTTTAATCATTAGATGATTATTTTGTCTACAAATTTGTATATCAAAATAATGAAAGTCTAATTTCATTTTTTGTTACAATGTTTCGCAAATAATAAAATTAATAAAATCCTTAATTATTAGATATATATATTCGTAGAGAAGATAAACAGATAATAACTAATTACCAAATTTCATTCTCTATGGTACGAACATTCTCAAAGAAATAGTTTTATAATTAATAAAAATAATATTTCAATAATTTATAAAGAAAAACAAATATTGTAAAAAGGAGAAGTAAAGAACATTAAGCATTTATAAAAACTGTAAATAATGTTAATTTAACTACCGTATGCAATTATAGGAATGTGGGATGGTTTTGTAAATAATTTATAAATGTGCAAAATGAGTATTTTTGATTTGTAGAAAACTATACTCGTTTGAATGAAGATAAATCTCAACAATTTCGTAATAGTATTCTTATAGAAGCTTTATGTAAGTCGTGGTTTTCAATTGTTACAAACAACCGAAGAAGACTATTTATGGCCGAATTGCATTTTGTAAGAACAAATATTGAAACAAATGACGATGCTTTGTTTCACAAATACAACACTTGTATTTGTGAAACAAAGCATCGTCACTCCTATTTTGTCGCAGGAACTAGAATTCTGCATATTAGAATACCCTAGGAAAGAAGAACCCCTTATAATCTATCGATAATATCACGTTTTAAAATGTTTATATAATTGCAACAGAATACGATTAACTTTTAGCTCTTATATTTATGAAATTGTAACATTAAATATTGATATTAATCGAAAATGGAGGCAATGGTCAAGGTCTTAGATTTATAAGGTTGCCTCATACAGCCGATTTAGCCACTTACTGCCAGATTCCGGATATACGTCATCCGTACTCGAGCCGTGGCCTAGCGACTGCTTCGCTACTGTAAGCGAGGGAAGGAAATTTTGGAATTTAACTATTTTTTTTAATTTGTCGAGCGTTTTTGGAATAATCTTCGAAGGTAAATATATCTATAATTATTACTATTATTAAACATAATTATGTTGATAATTATATCGATAAAAATTGTTCGGGAGTAACAAAAGTGTTCCTAGAACAGTTTGATATTCTGTTGTAGTCTTTACTCTTCGTTCTGTAGAAATTACAGAATATGGTTACGGATAAAATATATTTATTAATAAAATACTTTAAAATACTAAGAATAGTTTTCTGCATGTATAAAAATAGTATCTGCTCAGTGAAATGACGACTACAAATAATAAGCTGGCCGGTAACAGGATGGTAACACTTAAGATAACCTGCGATGTAAAAGAATATTGTTTATTATTAATTAATATAACTTTTTAAAATATGCATATTTACGCAAATACCTAAATTTTATTATTATTATTTTTAGATGCCAGGAGCAACATGTGCTGTTGCAAATTGTGATAACAGCCATTGTAAAACAAAAGTCATTAGACAGGAAAGTCAGTTATTTTAGATTTCCTAAAGATCCAATAATAAGAAGAAAATGGATCCATAACTGTAAAAGAAAAGACAAATTTAATCCTGATTCTTGTCATGTTTGCTCTGATCATTTCACAGAAAATGATTTTGAAAGAAATTTAAAAGCTGAATTATTAGGTTTATTGGCAAGACCTAAACTAAAGAAAGCTTCACTACCAACAGTAAATTTAGGAAACATAGAAAATAAAAATATTAAGCAGTCAAATGAAAGAAAGAATAGTGTATTAAAAAGAAATAGAAAAAACCTGATAGAAAAACTTTTAGATGTAAATAAACAGGATAAAGGAGAAGAATCTTTTAACAAATGTAACAATTGTAAAACTTTAGAAGATCTTAATTTTAAATTAAAACATGAAAATTCTATTTTAAATATGAAGATTAAACATATTGAGATAAGAATGCAAGCAATCCAAAGAGATCTGAAATTTTGGAAAAGTAAAACTGTCATCCTTCAAAAAGAACATGAAAAATTGAAAAAAATAAATGAAAAAAATAAAAAAGATTTTGTTATATCAATATTGAAAGGTACCTTTACAGAAACACAAATATATAATCTGCTGGAGAGAAAAAAGAAAATTAAATGGAAGAAAGAAGATATGAATTTGGCATTTACTTTGAGATATTTAAGCATAAGATCATATTTATACTTAAGAAATCAAATGAATATCCCGTTACCTGCAGTTTCGACACTTCAACGATGGGCTTCAAAAATAAATCTTTGTCAAGGCATATTAAATGATGTTATAAACATCATGAAAATTAAAGGCTTTGAACTTTCAGAAGAAGAAAAACTTACAGTTCTTCAGTTTGATGAGATGAAGGTAAATACTGTATATACTGTACTCATATTGATAAAACCACATAATTCAATAATTATTTTAATTTTCTGTTTTAACATTTTACTGATATTTCAGGTAAAGCATATATATGAATATGATAAAGTGAGGGATAAAGTTATTGGACCCAATAATCAAGTTTTAGTAATGATGGCAAGAGGACTATTTGCATCATGGAAACAACCAGTTTACATGGATTTTGATGTTAAAATGAAAAAACAACTTTTATTTACTGTTATTTCAAAACTTTTTGATGCAGGATATACTGTTGTTGCTGTTGTTAGTGACTGCGGTGGACAAAATATAGGATTATGGAAGGAATTAGGGATAAATATATTCAATACTAAATTTATACATCCATCTAATGGAAATAATATATACTATTTTCCAGATGCACCTCATTTGTTAAAACTCATTAGAAATTGGTTTTTAGATACAGGTTTTCTAACTTCAGATCATACATTAATAAACAAAGACTCATTACAACAGTTACTTCAAATAGATTCCAATGAAATAAAAGTTTGCCATAAATTAAAAGAAGAGCATATTACATGTCAGAAATTTCAACGACAAAATGTTAGGTTAGCTTGTGAATTATTTTCTAATTCTACAGCTGTTGCTATTAAAAGATATATTAAAACTGAAAATGCCTTAGCAGCTTCTGAATTTATATCATCAATTAATGCATGGTTTGATGTTATGAATAGTTCAACACCCAATTTTCATTACAAAATTGATTATCCCTCCAAATGTGCTTATGGCATTAACATAACAGAACAAAATAATATACTTGATAATACTTACAGAATAATTGAAAGTATGAGATGTGTATCTAAAAAATCACTTCAAACATTTCAAAAAGGAATGCTTATATCTATTAAATCTATTAAAGATTTATTTTTCGACCTTAGTTCAAAATTTCCTAAATACCATTATATCTTAACATGTAAAGTAAATCAGGATTCTTTAGAAAATCTATTTTCACAGATTCGAACTAGAGGTGGTTTAAATGATCATCCTAGTCCACTTGAAGTAATATATAGAGTAAGAATGATAATTTTAGGCAAATCACCAGGAATATTGCAAAATAAATTAAACACAGAAGATCAGATAGCTGAAAATTATTTAATAAATGAAATGTTTGAAGAGGCAGATTTACTGCAAGAAGTTTCAGATATGTCTAGTTCTAAAGAACAAGGAATATCTGAAAATTCATGCAATGTAAATGATGATGATTTATGTGATATATCTCAGGAAAATGTAGAATTAAAAAATGATGAATTAGATGAATTAAAAAATGATGGATTACAATATTTAGCAGGGTGGATTGCAAGAAAATAAAAAAAAAATATCCAAATTTAGGAAGTGTCAGTCACCAAAATAAAAATGAACATAGTTATACAATGATGTCCCTTGTTCAGGATTTATCTTTTGGTGGACTGTCACAACCATCAGAAGATTTCTTTAATTTAGTTAAAAAAATGGAATCAATTTTTACAAAAACTGTTAAACTGCATTTGAAATGTAAAACGGTTTCATCTATTACATCATTAATTAAACAGACAATTAACTTGCCAGAAGACATTATATACACATACGTAAAGCAACGTGTATGGATTAGATTGAAATTTTTGAATAATTTAATTAAACATGATCGTTTCGCTGTGAAAAGAAAAGTAAATTGTAATAACAATAGAAAATTAAAAAAAGTTTGTACCTGATTTAATTAATTGTTTTTATGTAGCATTTAATTTGTACATATTGACATCAAAAATGTGTTTATAACATAAAAAATTGTTCTTTTGAAACTTAATTTGTATATATTAATATCAATAATATCGTTTTCGGTACACGAGTATTAAAAATTGAAAAATAGACCAATATTATTTTTAGTTCAAAAAAAAATATATAACAGTTTGACGATAGAAATTAAATTAATTTACTTATATATAAATCACCTACGTAGGATTTACCAAAATTAATCGTTTTAAGAAACTATTGTTGTTATAAAATCATAAAATAGATAAAATAGATTTCATTTACAAAGTAGAAAAACTCATTTTAACTTCAACTTTACACGTAAAAATTACGAAGATTTGCTCAATATTCCGGATTTTTCTTATTTATAATCAATTTTTATTTTTATTTAATTAAGTAAGTATCGTAATTAATAAAATATTAGCGTGTAATTAAAGCTACGAGCTTCTGATCGGTAACGTTTCTACCATAAGGACATAGTAAGATGTTTCGTTTTCGACTACGAGTGACGTCAAATAAGTAACCAATGAGAAGCGTTTCTTCTCTATGAGGCAACCTGATAATCTAAGACCTTGGGCAATGGTACTGAACCAACAAGGCCGAAGATTAATTCAATGGTTTAAAAAAGGATGCGTTCAGAGTATTGCGCACGTGATTGTACTAATTTGAGGATGTATCGTCTGATTCAAAATTCTGTTTAAAATGTACACGTGTAGTAAAACTACATCGCATTTGAATTTTTCCCCAATCCCATTTTTTTTTTTTTTTTTGTAACTTTTTCCTCCCTGAGGGAACTAAGAGGGCCTCTTTAAATAAGCCCATTATAAGTTCGGCCAAGCCCACAATTAGTTGGCTGGATGTCGAGTGAGGGGAACCGACAAATCTGGTCGACCCCCATCGGAATATTCGTGAGGATTTTTCGATTCGTCCGGATTCCATTTTGGGTCCCCTAGAGCGAAAGGCTGCCACCTTGACCGCTCGGCCATCCGGCCATTTTCCTATTGGATTGCAATATCTGCATTACATTACGCTTTTTGTTTAAACTATTAGGAACATGAAATCGAAAATCTTGTCAACCGAAAATTCGAATATAAAAATAATGAATAAATATTGATGACTTTTTCACCAACAAGAAATAGCAATAACAATTATGGTAAATGCTGTAACGATAAACTTACACTTTTATTATTATTTCTTCAACTGCATGAATGAATTTGTAGAGATTAACTGGATTTGTATATTATTTTAGCGAATAAATCGAATATAATATTAATATTTTTATTAGATATAACATTTTTTTGTATTTTTAATACATTTGCTTCATAAAATTTTTTCAGAAATTTTTAAACGTTACGTGGTTTATGAGTGCGTTATTGCAATTGTCTATCATAGCATCATTGCTACTGTATGTTAAAGACAGGTAAGAATTCAATAATTTATTTACTTATTAATGTGGAATATGCTTCATTTTTGTAATATGGTCCTCTGATACACTGCTAAATTGTTTACACATGTGTACCTTCCATAAAGAAATAGGAATAATATCGTGATTTTAAATGAGATGCTCTTATAGTCGAATATTTTAATTAGATAAATAGATTACAATGTTCTTCAAAAATGTTGTATGAGAGACACGACTAAGTAATCATACGTAATTTTTGATTGCTGAACACAAAAATGACACTAAAAATTTTAGATTGCTTTAAGTTTTGAAGTCACAGAAAGAAAAAGGAAAAATCGCTGAGTTTAATAAGATATTCTTTTAAAAGTGATACTCACAAGATTTTTGTTATTGTTTCCTACATTTCGTTTCGAAGCGCCAAGCTTATCTTTATTTTTACCAAAGAAAAATTTTTAAAAAACTTTGACTGGTCGAAATTGTCATAATTTTTACTTGGCACAAATTTTTATATCTTATACAGTATTTGTGTTTGGATATATTATATTTATTCTAATATTTTTTGTACATTTGTATTTTTCGAATAATTTACAGTTGACCCCCTATAACACTGTTGATAATTCCGTTTTATATGAATTCCATGTTGTACGAGTCACTAAGATTTTACAAATACCTGAGCCGTTCACAGTTACACGTATTTGTAAAATTTAAGTGACTCGTACAACACGGAATTCATACAAAAGGAATTATCAACAATGTTATTGGGGGGTCAACTGTATATGCGAATACAGTGGAATCGCCGCTATCTCGAACTTCGAATAACACGGACAAAATTAATGCACATTCGTTTTTAAAAAATTTCTTTTACAATACAAAGTCTAATAGATTCTAACAATTACAGTCTAAGAAAAAGTGTTGAACAATTAATTCTAAGTACAATGAAAGTACAAGTAAAAAACGATTTTGATATCAGACAGTCTTTGCGATATTGTTTATTATATTAGTCTAGTCGAAAAAAAAGTAAAGGCTATATATTTCCCTGTTCTGGACATTGTCATAAAAGTTTTAGCACATTTCCTGTAATAATAAATTCAGCAGTATAACTATCCTTCTAAAACAGATGTATAGAGCCAATTTTGACCAAATTAGTTCGACTCAGACAGGTTTACCCATATCAGAGGATAAAAAATCTTAATACAATATTTTAACAAAATTTTGATTGGTGTTATATATAGACGTCATGTTAATATTCTGTCACTAAAAGTGAGAGCTATATATTTGATGTACATTACATATAATCAGAAGGCATTCCTATAAAACATATATTGTAATATATATAAGTTTCTGAAGAAGAAATCAAATTTTTACTTTCCTAGCTATTATACGTAACAGAAAAAAAGTATGACGATCAGTCAAACGATCATTTCCTAAAATTTTTGAATATTCGGACTCGTGACTGTGTAACGTTACGAAATGCAAAAACAAAGGAAAAAAATTCAGGCTATATTTTTCTGTATGTATAAATGTTTCTACGTGTGTATGGGGCACGATTTTGTTTACATTCTTTAAAGCTTAATAACTCTTGTGCTTATTATTATCACGTTATTAGCACTGTCAATATTTACTAAAAACCCACCCCTACTTTCAAAATTATGTTTTTTTGCCATTTTATAATAATTAGAAATACTAAAAGTTTTTTTAATAAAATATCGTAATAGATCGCACTGCCAAATGTTGCCGGGAAAGTAACACAACTCGCTGCTAGGATTTTCTTCGTGTACTGTACATTCCTTTGAAGTTTGAGAAAATATCCACAAAATGAATCAAAAATTACGACAGTCGACGCTTCAAAAGGATAAAAATAAATAAATCGAATGGAAGATTCTCTGCTTTTTACACGTGTCTTATTCTGTAAACCCAAAAATTCCAAATATTCAATTAAATTTCAAACTGATAAAGCAAAGCCCGAAACTTTTATCATATCTAGTCTTGAAAACTTTTTAGGATATAACTGCCAATCATTACTTGTTTTTTCTATGCATTTATTAATGCCTGTCAAATCAGTTATTTCAAAATTCCTAGCAACTGTATGGAAAATTTTTCCGTAATAAAAGAAGGGAAAAATTTATTTCCAACTGCGAATTAATTTACTGTTAGTAACATTTGTCTTATTTTCCCTGTGATCTATTTTATAATAACATCACTAACAGATTCATCATATCACTTTTGATTACAGAAAATGTTTTCAGAACCTTCTGTAGGAAATCCAGCAAACTCGTAGCTGGATTTTCTCGGTTCCCGCCGACGTTTTTTGAGCTATCTGTTGTCATATTTTATTTTAAAAAACTTTTTATATTTTTAATTTTCATAAAATAGCAAAAAGCGTAATTTTGAGTACAGGGATGGGTTTTATAAAAACAAAAATTTGTAGACGCTAGTAACTAATAAAATCATCATTAAATCAGACCCTATTCCAGATGCGACACACGACTCTACTTTCTTCTTATCCCCGTCACCTGTAACCGACAAAATTTAAGAGCATCAAGCCTCCTAATGCAGAAACCTCCCCGCAAAATTTTAGAAATTTTCAACAAAAAGCACAGAAGTTATTAAGCTTCAAAGATAATGAACAAAATCGTGCCCCCATACACACACTAACATCAATACATACAATACCATAAAAACCGAATTTTTTGCAATTTTCGACATTTCAGGGGTGTGCTGAGTCTAAATATGTAATAATTTGGGGGCGGAAATTTCTACCCATTCCCATGATTTTCCTCTGTGATATATAACAGCTGGAAAAGTAAAAATAGTTTCATGAAAACTATCTAATCAAGTGAATTTATACACTCTCTAAATACCTGTTGTTATATTTCCTCCTTTCATACATTTTTATGCTTTGTTTGTTGTTGTAGTAGATGCATTTGAGTTGTTTAATGTTTACTTTTGTATTTGCACATTATATTGTCATTTCTAGAAAGTGTTAGGTCGTGGCTACTTTTTGTTTTGTTGATTTGGAGCAACATAGACTTTGTGATATTTCTGTCAAACGAAGTATGATAATCTACAAATATATAATCTATAAAATTATAGTGCATGAATGTTTTGTACAGTACGTATATAATATTTGATGCTTGCACCGTAAAGAGCGCTATAGTAATTAATTTTGGTACTAATTTTTTACAGAAATTATTTCCTCTTGGTCTAAATGTTACAGCAAACTAAATTTCGTTACATTTGGATTGATAAAGATTTTTGTAGACGGTGTTAAATAGGGTACTTAATTTACTATCACCGAGTATTTATAAACATCTAATGTATTATTATTCAACTGAATTTTATATTTTGAACATTTTAAATATATATTTAATATAATTTTCCAGATGGCCCAAAGTGGAAATCTGGTTATAGTGTTATTGATGCTGACAGGAATTATCACACATGCCGTTGATGTGCTTTCAAACAGATATTATGCAATGTTTGGAGTACTTGCCGTTTCTGAGTATCAATCTTTAACTTTATTTTTTTTCAATAATCATCGAATATTAGTCAAATTTATACTAATCTATAGATTTTTTTTTCTATTTTAGACAAACGTATAAATACCTCGAGCATCATTACAATAAACCATATTATTCCCATCTCAGTACTTTCTGTTTTGGTGCATTAATCGGAGATATATTATGCAAGAAGAAAGAAGTCACATTTGGAAAAGTATACTAATTTTACTTAACTATTATATATTATTTAATTATTATTGTTGTTTGTTTTAATGTAAGAGTACTTTTTATTAAATGCTATCTGTTTGTAAGACACTGGACACAGATTACACCGAAAATTTTCTGTTTTTAACTTAGTCCACCAAAGAACAGCATAAAATATATATCGGTAGAACATTCAATCGCTTTTAATTTTTATTTGGTCAGGATAAATTTTAATTTTTAATCACTGACGTATTTTCGTGAAAAAAAGCAAGTGAAACTTTCAGGCAAAATAAAAAATTACCGATTATGTTGTAACCTTAGGAAAAACAAACTGATTTAGATCACACAAAATGTAGAACGTGAATCTGTTTTTTTTTTTTTTTTATTTTTGCATTTCTATAAACTCGGGTTGCTTCTCCTATAAAAAGTAAAAAAGTGAATTTTCGAAATTTTGAGTGTAACAGAAGTTGATTTAAACAACTCTTTACGATTTGGAAAGCGTATAAAATTTTAATTAAATACAAAGCGAATCCCAGCACCCAAAACATCATCGAAAGACGATGAAGAAGACAAAAGGATCAGTGAGTTTAAAATTGCTTGTGGAAGTTGATTGATGAGAGGAAAGACGCAAAACTTAAAAGGGGCCAGGCTAACACAATGGCTGAGGTGGAGGAACTAAGCGAAAGATACACCAAGTTGGATAGACCTCTAAAATAAATCTGTGGGAAACACAAAAAGGAATGGTTAGAACGAAAGTGCGCTGAAGCACGGGCGGCTTCTGACCGGAATGACTCTAAGACCCCGTACTGCATAGTCAATGAACTGACTGGGATGAGGAATAACTCCAGCGTTCCAATAAAAAACAAAAGAGGGAAGCTTCTGTTCGCTTAAAATGAGGAGAACAAGAGGTGGGATGAACATTAATATATGGAATATATTGGTATCTCCGATTCACCTAACAACTACTAAATCAAGAAACATTTAATCAAGCAGAACCGACCATCATATACGATTTCGATCTTGAGGATACACAGGATGAGCTTCATGTGAACACTGATGATATTATTTTTGAGAAAGTGGAGCTTGCGATTAAAAGCATAAAGAATAGTATGGCAGTCGGTTTGGACGAAATTACGGCTGAAATTTTAAATCATTAAGTGAAGCCTATGTTGTAAAAGTTAATGTTATTGTCTAACAGGTGCTGGCAATGTGGGGAGTTCCCAAAAGATTGGAAAAGGGGCGCTATAGTCAGAATTTCTAAAAGAGAAGATCTCTCCGCATGTATTAATTGACAAGGTGTCACTATTCTTTCTGTGCGCAAAAAGTCATTTTGTGTGGTCTTCCTTCGACACCTGCAGATTATCCTCGATCAGTGTTTGAGGGAGGAGCAAGCTGGGTTTCACTGCGAAAGATCGTGCAGCGAGCAGAACTTCTCCCTTCAAAATATCATCGAATAATGTGTTGAGTATCGACATCCATTAGCCATCAATTTCATTAATTTCAAAGAAGACTTTTGATAGTGTTCACCGCGAGTCCCTCTGGCGGATCCTGCGATTATATGGTGTATCCACAAACTTTGTCACTATTTTCAAGGCCTTATATCTGCATTCGAGTTGTTTCGTCAAGACTGCAGGTGGTCTTACGGACATCCTTGAAATTACGACAGGAGACAGGAGGGTTGTGTTCTGCTTCCATTTCTTCTCTGATTATGTCTTGCGGCAGTCAAAAGAGTCTAGTGTGCGTGTTGGGGCCGGCATCCACTGGTTTGTCGAGGAACGTCTTGGAGATTTGACGTTATCGCCGTATTAAAAGAAAGCGAGACAATGCTACAGCATGCCATGGGCCATTGGGTCGGGAGGCACACAAAATTGGCCTCAGGATAAACACCCTGAAGACGAAAATTATTCATGGATGTAACAGTGCCCAAACGCGAAGAGTAATTGTCTAAGCACAACGATTGAAGGAGGTGGAAAGAATTACCTACTTGGGTAGTGTTATTTTCCAAAATGGTGATGCAGAAATCGATGTGAGGTGCCGCGTCAGTAAAGCAACGAAAGTTTTCTGGCTGATGAACAAAATCTGGTTTTCCCCATCCATCTCATTGAAAATTAAATTCCGCCTGTTCACGTCCATCGTGATTCCAATAGCAGTTTATTCCAGCGAATGCTGGAAGACATCAGGAAACATCAATACAAGGCTCGATGCCTTCCAACAGATATTCCTACGACGAATAATAAAGATCCAATATTAAATCATATTCCCAATGAAGAGGTTTTCCGAAGAAGTGGGATGTGTGAACTTCATAACATTTTCACCATAGAAGAGTTCGACTGGCAGCCACATTTTTCATATGGAGAAAATTAGGATCCCAAAGAAAGCCGTGAAATGGGTTCTCCTGATGCTAAACTACCACGAGGACGCCCCAAGAATACTTGGCGTAGAACTTTTCTTCAAGATTAAAAGATGCTCAATATGACTTGGGAGAAAGCTGAAGCCCTCACTCATAATCGAAATCGATGGAAGATAGTTGCTGCGGTATGCTACCTAGCATTGGTGGTACTACTACCGTGTTTCCCCGAAAATAAGACAGTGTCTTATATTAATTTTTGCTCTGAAAAATGCGCTAGGTCTTATTTTCAGGGAATGTCTTATTTTTCCCAGGAAGAAGAATTCACATTTATTATTGAACAAAAAAATTCCCAAGTCGAACTTAGATGAGAGTGACGTATATCCGGTTTGTCGAACAGTCGCCTTTTTATAGCGTCGACATCGGACTCGATGACCAATTAGTGCTTACTGAACCGTAACACTATGCAAATGTCATGTGGCGTGATTCCCGGCCGACCAATTAGCCATCACCAGCCGTAATGTTATGCAAATCTGTTATTCCCAAGCCATAGTCTTATGCAAATCATGCCGTGTGGCGTAATTGTCTGCTGACCAATCAGTGGCTGTACTTTCAAAAAGTCGACGGCCACTTTCAACCATCTGTCGATGACCGTTACGACTAAAAAAAAACTTCGCTAGGTCTTACTTTCAGGGGGAGGTCTTATATTTCGCAATTCAGCAAAATCTGTGCTAGGTCTTATTTTTTGCGGATGTCTTATTTTCGGGGAAACACGGTATGTGAGATCCGCAGGTTAATTAGATTAATTACTATAAAATTTATGAGGTACATTTTTTGTATATGAGAAAGGGAGAAAACGAACTTTCTTTTAGACTGACTACAGTTTAACTCAATATCCAGTGATGATGAGTCAAACACTCAGCCGTCCCTATAAAAAGGGTAGATTTCCTGTCTTTTTGCGCATTTCGTCCCAAGCAGAACTTGCCATCTGAACTAGTCACATAAGCGTCTATCTTTGTAATAAGATCGCCATATATAACTAAGGACCATCTCCCATAATATTTGAAGGTGCCATACAGACGGCAGAAAGTGATAAAAGATTTATTCTTCTGATTCACATTATCCAATAGAAGACTACGACTACAAATATTAGACCACGACTACAAATATTAGACCGAGACTCCACTACCGTAAAAACGGCGTAAAATCCCTCGCCGTAAAAGCTTTTAATCACGTGACCCTGATATTTTACGCCTGTTCAGGCGTAAAATAAAGAAAGCTAAAACTGACTCATGGTGCAGTTATTGCACACAAGCCTCCAGCAACCCCTGAGGCATTCTAACCAAACTCAGCATCAATAAACTCAGGAAATACCAAACACTTTACACAATAAAGATCAGTGATGAATACACTCCTTACCTCATAGAAACTATCAAAGCCCAAAGATCTCCAGGAAGATGATACCTCCACGATCCACACGAACATTCTTCCAAGATCCACAGGAAAATGATACAGAATGGCAGAGAAGTGTGACGGCTAGCTGTCTGGAAGACATACCCCGACATCCCCAACTTTGAGTATTATGAAATCAACGACATTATCCAGAGTCTGAACAGAAACAAAACCCCTGGTCTGGAGGAGATTACAGCAGATAGCATGAGGAAAATATGGGATTAGACCTCTGACATCCTGCAGTACATGTATAACGGCTGCCTCCATCATGGCATTTTTCCAAAGGCCTGGAAAACTGCTAAATTTATCCCAATCCCTAAGCAAGGCAATGAGGATGGCCTTTGCCCTATTTCTCTACTTCCTATATTGGGGAAGTTCCTTGAAAGACTCATTGCCAGCAGGCTCATGTGGCATGTGGAGACTACTAGCCAGCAATTCGAGGTTCAATATGGCTTCCGTCATTAGAGATAAACCGAAGACACAATCAATACTGTAGTTGAAAATGCCAAGGCTCTACTTAACACTCATAAGTATGTCATGGACATCATCCTTGACATCTCAAAGGTATTTGACAGCACTTGGTGGACCATGATCATACACTGTCTTAGAGAAATGAGATGTCCTGCAAATCTTTTTCACAAATACATACACAGTCTTGCGTTTTTATTAGTCATGTTTTTCCGTTTGAAAGGGTTAGAGTCTGTCTAATGTCGATTGCTTTTCTCTCTTCTTCAGGATTTTTCGTAAGTAATTACAGTAGAACCTCGATTATC